CCAAGAACCATTCAAAATGCAATAATGGATCATTGGATTTCCATTTAGTCATATCTCAAAACGTTTTAGTTCATGTCTTATGGTAACCTAAAAAGTTCCTAAGGGTCCATGATTGATTCAAGATACAAAAGTTTCAAGACTTAATGAAAGTCCATGAAACATCATTATGTTGTGACCCCAATTCAAAGATAATTACACAAGAAGCTTCTTTGTTTTTTTTCCATGTTCTAAAAGTATGAAAGGTACAGGATTTAATTTGTTTATGTGAATAGGATAATTTGCTTTTACTAATGGCCAAAATAGGAAGAATATACATTTGTGTATAACAATGTTTCATGAAGAAGAATTTGGACCACCAACTACGGCTCATTTTGTGAAAGAAGATACAAGGTTACAAGTGACATTGCAAAATGTATAGGTACAATCAAACACCTATTCTAAACTATTCTTCTTGAATCATCAATGACAATGCTGGCGCTTTTGAGTAGAGGTAGATTATAAGAGGGAAGTTTGTTGGCAGCCGCCGTTTTGAATTCGGGATGTTTGTTTCTCGGTATTCAAACAAGGTATTGCAGGATCTGTTGAGCAGCTACCAACCAAACTTAAATCTAAACAACCAATACTTCTTTGATTCCATAAACCTGCGGTAAAATAATCGAGATTGTGAGAGTCATGTTGGAGACATACTAATGTGCATTTTCGAAATCACAGGACATTACCAAATCCCATCACAGCATCGCCATTTAAAAAAAGCTTGATACTCCCGCTGCTGTCGTCATTAGTTTCATAAGTAATGGCATCCAAACTGCAAGGAAAAGAAAAGGTTAGAAGACATTGTGACAATGTTTAATCGATAACATATAAAACTTTAGAAATATCTATCGTGAGTTTGTTACCTTTCGTTAAAGTTGTTTAAACTCGAAAGCCTATACAATGCCCTGCTAAGAAAAAAAGATGCATCAACGTAATCCATGGCATGTACATTAAGATTAAAGCACCAATAGTTTCTCTAAGTCACTTTTTTAATATTCAAGATTGGTCTCAAATAAGCAAACCTGAGTCGGTAACTTCAGATTTCCTCGGTTTCAAGCTGTACCCAGAGCAAGGTAGATAGCAGAAGCATTGGTTGTGACCAAGGAAGTCAAGTTCAACTTGGAATTCAGCCTTTTCTCAAATATATCCCACAGGTTTTGTTGAGCCTATTGCATTGCAGACTTTGAGGGAAAACTCCACCCCAGCAAATAAAACATTCTTTTAGTTATGTTCTTGTTTGAATTGAAAAAAAGGGGAAAGATAGAAACTCATAAACAACCATTAACACACCTACATCACCAATATAATGTAGCGTCTAAGCAAGAATGGAAACAAAAAGGGAATTGAAAAGAAGAGAAAGATTTCAAACTTACGGGATTGTCGGTTTGTCCTTGAGGTGTGCCAATAACTCAGAAACAATTCCCACAGGTCAAATAAATTGAAGGAATCATCCATTTTTAGAGGACTTCGTAACAATGACAGTCATGTTCTGGGGACTGATAAAAGAGAAAGTGTTGTCATGATTAATGGTTCAAACTCATACCAAGAAAAACCAGACCTGCACATGGAAAATACCACACCAAGATGTTAAAAATAAGAGAATTCATAAAAAATGTATAACAAAGAATTGGAGATGACATAAAGGAAAGCCAAACATATTAATTCTCAAATCCCAGACGAGTTATAAGTAGTGCCTCAAGTTTTCCAAAACGAGCAAAAATACAGGTTTAATGCAAATTCATGTTTCTTTCCGAAATTATCCAGACATGTCCTATGAATGCACTCATCACAGTGCCATACGATTAAACTTGATTTATTTAGAAAAGGCAAGTGTTGATTCACAATCAGACATTTTCAAAGCAAATGATTCGTCCAAGGAAAAGATTGAAGAAATGGAGGACATAATCAAGCTAAAAAGGAAAGTTCAATCATTATGCAATAATTTCGAAAATTCAACATTTGAGCCTATAAAAGGACAGATTCAAGATCCACAAAAGGACAACAACATTCACAAGCATTCAAACAAACGTTCAAAAAGCACAGAATCAACATTCGCAGGCAAAACCTCAAAGTCAACAAAAAAACCTAAAATTGTAAAGAGACTTATCTTGAAATTCGCCGGAGAAGTCGAAGCAAACCCTCACGTGAACTCCGTCGAGAGTCTCGACGATCCGCCGGAGAAACTCAAAACCCCCGCCATTTTCACAGCCGTCGTGTTCTTCATTCACCTCCTTCGCAAACCGCCATCGCGAATCGCCGTCCAACAAGCCTTCACTTCTGTCGCCCTATATCATCATCTGGGGTAAATGTTCTTGTTTCGGATTTGTTGAGCTTTTCTTTATTTACTGTCTACAGGTTTATCATAGACGAAGAAGAAGGTTGAAGAAGGTGAAGCGATGAAAAAGAAAAGAGAAAGAAATTGAAGAAGAAAGAGGAGAGGAAGAATATGAAAAATGACGCCGCTGAGAGGAACAAATTAGGGTTTCAGATTGAATCCCTCCCCTCTCTTCATTCAGTCATCCGGATCGGGTGGGTCCGGTGGACCTAACCACCATCGGCCCAACCCGTTTTTTATTTATTTCCTGTTTTTTTTTCTTTTTTTTTCAGTTTTTATTTTTATTTCTTTTTGTAATATGTAAAATAATAATAATGAAAAACTAACTACTAACTAATAAATAATAATAATAATAATAATAAATCAAAAAAATAATAAAAAATAATAAAAACAAAAATAAAAGAATATAGTTTTAGATTAATTTCAATTTAGCTCTTTTAATATATAAAAAATAGATATAATTAGTTTGAATTTAATTTTTCAATTTAATTCAATACAAAAATACAAAAATTTAGATTTAATTTTAATCCTTATTTAAAATTAACAAAAACACTTTTAAATTATTTAATTATCTTTTTACAAAAAAGGGTTAGTTAACTTAAACTTTTTAATGTGAATTAATTCAGAACATTTCAGCATTAACTTAAAAAACTTTTTATTAAACTAATTGTCTTTCTATTTTTCTCTACCGAAAATAAATTTTTTTTAATTAAAGCTCTTTATTTTAATTAATTTCAAAATAACTTAGGTTTAATTTCATTAACTAAACTTTTTTTTAACTTTCATTTAACTTAATAATTTTCTCACAAAGCAACAAAAATAATTTCTCTTTTAACAAGTCACCATTTTACCAAATCAATCATCATAATTCATCTAACTAATTCTCGTTTATCCATTCGAACTTACCCTTTGCTTGCGCTTTCAATTATTATCATTTTTTACCACTTAATCCCCTCCGAAGGAAAGGTTACACTATTTGACCGCCGAGTCAATGTCTCACCTTCACCCCATCCTAGCCTTAGGATCCGAGTCGCCGTACTCGTGCTTAGGCGTCCCTCCGTGGACACACCTGCACCCTTTGAAACCTTAAAACTTTGAGTCGCCGCACTCATACTTAGGCGTCCCGCCGCGGACAATTTTACCTTTCATCCTAGCCTTAGGATTAGGAGTCGCCGCACTCCATATAAGTTTTCCGCCGTGGAATACTTACTACACCTTTTTCAATTCAACTTTATAACGTAGAAATCGGAGTCGCCGTACTCTAAAGTAAGCGCTTCCCTATGAACGTTTACTTCCCCTCGGAACCTTGACCACAGTCAAGAAGTTCCCCATCTCTCTCCGTGAGGGGAACTACGATTACTCTGATTTCATCCCCTACCCAGGATACGTAGGCACAAGATGCGAGTCTTGGCGAGTAAACTTAGGACTAACCCCTTAGGTCCTTTCTCTTTACCTTTAACCCTTAGCATTACCTTTAAGCAGATAACCATAGTAATAGCATATTAAAACAAGAGGTTCTTGTAGAGTACTACTGAAGTTTAGGATGCTAATACATTCCCTAAGCTTAACCAACCCCCGAACTTTACATCTTTCCTCGCATTGTGTTTACGATGAAAAATAGGTTTTTCCCTTTCTTTAACCTTTCCTTCGGATAAATCAAAGACCGGTTGTAAATGAATTAAGATTCAAGTTAATCAATAGCTTGACATCCAAATTTCACCGCAACACATGTTCTACGGTGTGTATAAACTATCATTCATGCAATTTCTACTCATTTATTACCTATCATCAATTTCTACTCATTTGTACAAAAATTCAAAAAAACTTAAAAATTCCGAGTTTTACTTCAGCGTTAAAAGATGTCTCTGATGTACTTGATGTTGATAGAAGAGCCTTTGAGCTTGCTTGGTTGATTTTGGCCTTGGTTGATGAAAGAAATTTTAAGAGTTTAAGAAAGTTGAATTTTTTTAGAAATGAGGAATGAGAAGGGTTCTAGCACGATTTAAGCTCCAATAACGTCCAGAGATGCATCTCTAAAATAATTTTAAAGATGCATCTTTGAAGTTGTTAATTTTAAGTCATAATTCTATTTAATCTGAGTACGTTTGAAAATGCATCTTTGAAAACTAAGAAATTTTTTATATTTTCACGTGGTAAACTCGTAATACATATGTGAATTAAGAAATTCCCTATTTATCAACATGATATTGGTTTATATAGTTCTTTGGCATTCTATGGGGTTGATTGTATACCCAAAATACAAAGTTTCCTCTTGTTACTAGCTGGAAGTTGACTTGTTTTCGAATGTTACTTTTCGAGTTTTCGTAAACTCTTTTAAAATTTTATTGAGTGAGATTATATGAAAAATATTGTAAATAATGCGATTTGAAAGATAAATTTTAGTTTTATATAATAACATTTTTAAACTTTCAAATAATTTGGAAAAAATACATAGGATGTAAAGAACAATTCCATATAGTTATGAATAGGAAAAATATTTACATTACAAATCAAAATAGCTTATACATTAGAACAAAGAAAGAGGGAGAAAAAAAAGGAACAAAACTTTGAAGCACGATGCATTATCATTGTTTGTACACTTGTTCAAGACAACTGAGAAATACACAAATTCTTACCTACCCTCTCTAAGAGTCTCACGAAGGATGGGTTTAGAAGAATCGATGGGTGAATATTGATCTGCTCCAACAGCAATGCTTGTACTTGCTGTTGAATTGTAATTACTTGTATCTAATCCCTTCGATGAAATGTCGGTCATGATGCTGCTCACATCGTCAAATTTCCAGTCAGTCAGGTATCCGGGCCTTGATGTTACAGCGCTCACTTCAACGTCTCCTGAAAGCATTGCCACCACACGTGACATCGGTGGCCGTAAAGTTGGTGATGTTTGAGTGCACAAAAGTGCTATTCCCACAAGGCGTTGGAGTTCTTCCTTGTTGAATTCTGATAGTCTAGGATCGATTAGATCGTTTGTACAGTTCCTTTCATGAAGCTGCCAAGCCTAAACAAAACACAAATAATATTAAGCTAAAAGTGGCTTGATATGATATGTTTTTGAATTATGGATTATAATTTTACATGTCTCAAATGTTGCTAGGGTTATTAAGGCCATAAAATGTTTATTCATATTTTTGGAGGATATATATTCGAAGGAAGAAAAAGCAGCATGCATACCCATTCTAGAAGATACATCTTCTCTCCTTCTAAACTTGAATCAGAATTTGGCCTCCCACTGACTAACTCGAGAGCCACAACGCCAAAGGAAAAAACATCGGCTTTCTCTGTAAGGTGTCCACGCATGGCATACTCCGGTGCAAGATATCCACTTCATCATGAGTGTTACGGTTCATTGACAATTTAGTATAATTTGAAACAATATATGCAAATCAAATCAAATATTGATACAATTATGAAACTACAAGATGATATCAAGTGTTTATTACTTACATTGTCCCAGCAACGCGGGTGCTTATATGGGTTTTTTTATCATCGTATAATTTGGCCAACCCAAAGTCGGATATTTTTGGGATAAGTTCAGAATCAAGTAGAATATTACTAGCTTTCACATCACGGTGCACAATACGAAGCCGTGACTCCTCGTGTAAATATGTCAAACCCCTTGCAACACCCATACAAATATCATAGCGGGTCGGCCAATTGAGGAATAAAACATTTCCTGCTCAAACAAGCCAACAATGTCATTAATTATAAACAAGAGAAACGAAAAAAGCAAACATGCAAACACAAACATGGAAGAAAATTATCCTATTCTCATACCAAACAATGCTTGATCAAGACTCTTATTTTCTAGATACTCATAGACAAGAAGTCTTTTACTCCCTTCAATACAACATCCATATAATTTGACAAGATTACGGTGTTGCACAGCAGATATAGTAGCAATCTCAGCTACAAACTGACTCTTTCCTTGATGGGATCCTATAGATAACTGTTTGACAGCCACATCTCTTCCATCATTAAGTGTCCCCTGCAAGAATAAAAAGGAAAAAAATATATTACAAGTGAAATCATAAATATGCTAATTATCATGAGTATTATTTGAGTAAGAATCGAAAATGATAACATGTATTCACCTTATAAACAGGTCCAAAACCTCCTTCTCCGAGTTTATTGTCATGGTTGAAGTCACTTGTAGCATTTTTTAACTCAGAGTAGCTGAAAGTGTTTGGCATTGTATCAATGCCTAAAAGCTCTGCAAAAATTATAAACTTAGTTTAGAACTCTATGGATTAAGATAAGAAATCAAATAGCAGAAAAGAACATTTATGTTATTTATAGTAAAATCGTTTCTTTCTGCTACAAACACCTAAACATATAGGATATTGTGTGCTAAATGTTGCTTGCTATATTATACAATAACATATATAAGGCATCTCCTCTTGTTTTAAAAAAAATCATCATCCAACAAAAATATACAATATATGAGAAAACTCCCTTACCATCATCATCATCATAGCGCTTTTTTCTCCGAATGATATAGAAAATGGCGAAAATTGATAGAAAACATACAACTCCAACACCAACAACAACTCCAATGATTAGACCTGCTCTATTCTTTTTACTGCTGGGAGGTTTGTTGCTGACAGTAGGTATGAAATCTATAAGAAATTCAATTACAAAATATTAAAAAATTTCCAGAAAAAAAAGGATTATATCTTGTTACAAATAAACATTTGAACTGCATAATTTTTTTATTTTTATGTTTTACCAGGTGTAGCACTGATGGCTTGAATCAAGGGCCCATAAGTACCTTGGCCAGGTATGCAACAAGTCCCTTTTCCGGCCCAAAAGAGATGGATATCGACATAGTTTTCTTTCACTTCAAACCTAAATTGTTTTTGAACAGCTCTATAAGAGACACCTCCGGCTTGTCTTTGTATGTCAAAATCTTTCAAAACACGAGTCCCCTGAAATTTAAAACAGAAAATATAAAAATTAGACAATGTGAAGATTCCCTTAGCCGCATAAGGACTACATTGATTCTATCTCTAATCATTATGAGATTTCAACAACATAAATACCTGGATATAAACATCAAATACTCGTCTCCCGAGGCTTTTCCATGTAGTAGAATCGAGAATAGCTGTTTCCGCAAATTGGAGGGTAATGTTATAAAAACCATTTTCTAGCCCCAACCCGTAATACCTTAATGATGATGCAGAGAGCCGGAAAGTTTGAAAAATCTCTGGGTTCAAAGTACCAGTGAACTGATTAGTCACAGAACTTTTGAACGCAGGATTGTTGCTCCCAGTAAATATTCCAACATTACTAACAGCCCATCTTTCAGTATCAGTAACAAAGTATGTAGCCGGACCAAGTGTCTCATTGTCCGTTTGATACACAATTCCATCTGTACTTCTAATTTGAGGACCACCGCACTTGATCGCGAAGTCGGAATCTGCACCATGCATCAGAGATTGATCAATGGCCGAAAATATGATTATTTTGTTCATTTTAGTTCAAAATCTAATTTACTGTAATAATAATAGTTTTCATCATCATCGTCTTACATCTTGCCGCAGCACCACGATTGCATGGAAAAGTTTTCTGGAGACAGTTTAGCCCAGTAGGCAAACCACTGCAAAACAATAGTTATGTTTCAAACCATAAAATTAATGAACATGTAAAAGTATGCCCAAATAAGACAAATAGTTTTCCTATAAATAAGTATGTTCAAATATTTCTCAAAGAATTATCGAAACATATTTAGGAAATAATGTAAGTTTTGATCTTTCTATAATCTTGAACATACTTTTATTTATCGGAAAAATATTTGTCTTAAGTTATTCAAAATCAAAAGAAATTTATAAAAGTAAAACAAGATTATGGAAAGATTAAAACTTACATTACTTCCTATAAATAAAAGTATGTTCAAATATTTTGTAATGAATTATTGAAACAATCAGCATTAAATAAACTTTATGAATATTACCTGCTATTTGAATCATCTATTGTCAAGTTGTTGGCTACTAAGTTTCTGCATATCATGCCCAAAACATATCACAACATAGTTTCACAAAAAAAACATAAATATCTTTAGCACAAAAAAAAACTGATTACAGTATAAAAAAACTAAATATTTGAAGGCAAAAAAAAAGGATTAAAACATAGTTGACAGTTAAAAACAGAGTGAAACATGTATGGTTTGTTTTCTTTATTTTATTTTTTTAGTAAACCAAGTTATGCGTACAACTGTGAAGACTAATCTCTAGAGATAAATGAGCTTTGGATGATTTTATTATTTGAGTGAGAACAATTAAAGAAAAATGAAAGTCCCCATGATATTAATGCATGAAAAGTCACCAAGTTAAACTGAATTTGAACATAGCTTTTGTCTCTTTCAAATGCAAGATATTTGCATAAACATTTTCATTTTAAAAATAAATTTTGCATTTTTGTAACTCTTGATACTCATTTGTAGTGCTTGAGATTGTGTTGCCGACTTTTAGAAATTATAGAAGTTAAATTGGAAAAACTATTAGGCTTTTATATTAGGGCTAGCTTCCTTATAAAACTTGCATAGAATTATTTGATATAAATGGTGGGTTATACGAATCAATAGGCTCTAATACTATATTAGGAATACATTCTTATAAAATCGGCTTATAAGGTGACGGGTTTCTGGATAAATCATGATACTTACAGTTCTAGATTTTGTCCGTTTATCCAAGAGGGGAAGCTTCCGGATAGATCATTGTATGACAAATCTCTGCAAGTATGTTAAGTCAAACAATAAATAAAGATTAAAGATTTAAAATTGATATCAATGTTGGTGATTTATAAAACACAAGATGGTTTGCTACACATGGCCCATAGTTCGAAACCCTTTTATTGTCTGATCCAAGGGTTTTTAATCAAGTGAAGCCTACTCACATGTTGTTAAGAGATGAACTTTTCTGCCGAGGGAGACTACCATTAAGTGTGTTATTTCCAAGAAACCTAGAGTTAGATTAAAAAAAACAAAACATCATTTATACAACATATGATAACATATCACCAAATCAATATATTAGGAAATTAGGAAATGCTATATTACAAGGAAGAGAGGGAGCTCAAACTGAAAATTGATCCTGGAATTTGTCCTGAGATGTTATTGAAGCTTAAGTCCCTGCAAGAACAAGCATAAGTATATGATCATCCTACCTCCTTTGGGATTCATAAAAGTAATAATTATTTGCATGACAACAAGCTTAAGAGCTGAATCCTTATATCACGTAACAAAGACAATATTGAAACTGAAAAAGAAAAATTGATGTTAAAATCGGAAGTTTATGCCAAACCAGTAATGAGCATTTTAACCTCTGATCATAAATGATGTGGCTTATAAATATCACATCATTCCTTTTGAAAACATTGATACTTTATGAGATATTCCATGAATCAGGTCAGAGACGTGATTTGGAAAAGCAACAAAACATGTTCTATTGTGAAACAACTTCTATCTAATTGGTTATAATGCATCCAAATAGAAACACAAACAAGTGATACTCACAGCTGAGTCAAATTTCGGAATTCTCCAATGAAAGAAGGAATTGAACCAGAAATATTGTTATTCCTCAATTCTCTGCAACCATCATAACCATATTCTTAGAATAATTTACAAGAAAAAAAAGACAAGTAAATATTATTTTTCTACTTCAGAGGCCGAGATATAATAATTAGCAGAATTCCATTCTTACAAGATTGTGAGAGACTTCATGTTCTTTATTGCATCCAATGAGGAGCTCCCATTTGATAGACCACTTATTCTCCTGCATTTTTATATGTCACATATGATATATTAGCATTCACGAATCAACAGAAACCATACAAGAAACTAGGGACAAAACTCACAATTCTGTCAAAGAAGTCAAATTGGAAAATGATGAGGGTAATGGACCTTCGAAGGAATTACCCTGAAATCTCCTATCATCCACCAATTCATAGAAAATGTTAGTACACATGTCTGGAACAAAATACGGAATTAACCATTAAAAAATTAGAACTGAATTTGTGTGCATTGTTGTCAGTATACAACTTTTATGCACATGTATCCAACTTATCTCACAATGTAGATATTTGTGAAGTTAGTTTAGGAATAAATAAGTTAACTGGTAAAGTTGTCTTACAAGGACTGAAGCTTAGAAAAATTTCCTATGAAGTCGGGTATTCGCCCGGTAAGTTCTGTGTCTGAAGCCCATCTGAAATTAGCAGAAAAATCGTTTTTTCAACACAATTCTACTTTTTTTAATCTATTATAATATTGAGGTAGAAGGGATTAGCAATATCTTACAATTGCGCCAAACTCGTAAGGCTTGCAAATGTTGGTGGAATTGGACCACTTATTCCGGAACTATCCAAGTAGCTGCAAGGAAATATTATTGAAATTGATATCTCTTCTGATCAAAATAAGATTTTGAGTAAAAAGACTTGAAACTTAGCACTATCTAGAATTAACCCTTAATTACAAGTCATTGCATGCATGTGAAGTGCTTCAGAAAAAACAATCATATGATATGACCTATAGATGGCTCTTCCATTGCATAAAGTAGTGTGAACTTTTATAAGTTAAGGGTTGTGTTTGTACACCTAAACTAAAATTAAGGGCTATAAATTTTACCTCATAGAAAGATAACTTTCAATTTGTGACATGGTTAGTGTTTGAAAAGCACATATAAAACTTGAATTATATTAATGTTCATTAGAATTGCCAAAGTTTACTTCTGATTTATTTATAAAACAATAATAATTGCCTCCAAATTAAGACAAGTTCTGATGAGTAAATATTCAAAAGTTATTGCAACACTTTTGTAAATGGATGACAAAAATTGAACAAAAAACAATAAATGTGTAAGTTAAGACTGAAGAAATACTTACAGCTGTTGTAGTTTTACAAGATTTCCAAGTTCAGATGGCAAAGATCCTGAGAAGTTATTAGACCCAAAACCCCTAGAAATTTAGAGATGACAAATCAGAAACATCATCATCAACATGATTTTTGCTAGTAAATTGTGTATTTAAATCAAAACAACATACAATACAAGCAACTCGGTAAGATCTCCCAATTCCTTTGGAAGCTCTCCTGACAAAGCATTGATGCCAATAGACCTAAATAGCATAAAAACAACATTAGAAAAATAGCAATGTTAAATCTCTTAAGGGAGAGTTTTCCGCCTATTATGATCCTAAGCGACTCGAGGGATTAGTCTCTGCAGTTGCGTACCGGTTTATAAAAAAAAATTGCTAACATTAAATATATACATAATGTGATGAGATTGAATGAAATCAATGGCTTTACATGTATTGCATACGAGTCAGATTTCCAATCGCCGGAGGTAGAGACCCGGTCAAGTAATTCTGGCTGATCTGCCTGCTTGCAATTTAGAAAACCTAGCAATTAGCATAGCGAAAAAGATGATAGGGTTCATTTGAATTGAAGAAAACATACAAATTGGTGAGGTAAGTGAGAGTCCATAGCTCGGGTGGAATTTCACCGATCACATCCAATGAATAAACTTTCCTGTTACATTGTTTGATTTCAAATAGATGATATAAAGAAACTAAACTATAAAACAAAAGTTAAGAAATCGAGAGAAGAGAATGAACATATACAATGCAGTGATGTGGCAAGTAGTTTTGTTGTTATAGGAACAATCACATTTGATGAATGGGTCATAAGTTTGGTCATCAATAGCGATACTGCTAACAGTTGCTTTTCCACTGCATAATTCACCGCTTATGTTCCACTGAGTATTGTCTGCTTTTATTTTCCATTTGCTAAATATTGAATTTAGAGCTCTTGCTGCATTCACAAAACTTACTTAATATTTCAAATGGAGAAATATGGACATAAATAAATTATTAAAAAATTGTTTGTTTATTTTTTTTTTAAAACTAGATATGTGAGACGTAAAATTGCAGAGATTAATCTCTCAAATCGAATAGAAATGTATTGCATATAAAAATTTCTTCTATAAAATAGAGTTTAACACTATTGCATACCTAGACTAAATTTGAACTCAAAAATTAAATTGAAAGAAATTATTTAATGTCTCATCCTGAGTTTGATCATTTTCTCATTTAAGTGTACATTTAGATATAATTATTGACATTAAAGTATATTCAACATTAAGTTTATAGGTAGAATTTTTTCTAAGACATGAAATATTTAAATCTTAGTTTTATGTTAAAATTGATGGTTTTGTCTAATTGCAATTTTCTAAGCTATATCTTGTTTTTGCTCTAAGAGTTATTTATTTTAAATCACAATAATTCACGAAATCAATTTCTATCATATCCTCGTAAAAATATAATATTATTTAGATTTCGAAAATATATTTTCGAACACACTCTCATTCAATAAGTTTTTGAATAAAATCCTAAAGTTATGTAAAAAAATTATGAAAATGCATCTTCGTATAATTTATAGAAATGCGTCTTTGAACGGTGTTTGTTCAAATATACACCAGAATCCTTTCTCTTTCTTCACTTTAAAAAAAAACTCTTAAGGTTTTCAAACTCTCAATTCACATTCTCTCAAAGTCATTCAACCTACTTCAAAACTTTTTTCATCAACCTTAAGTCCATTAAATAGCTCAAATTCTCGCAAAATCATTCAACCAACTTCAAAGTTTGAAAATTTTTTCTTTTTTCTAAATTTTTTTTGAGTTTTTGTATAAATTTGTAAATTAGATAATGAAATAGGTAGTTTATACATGATATGTAAATGAGGAACGTGTTTGATAGGTAGTTTTATTGATTAATGCATTATTTTTGCTGTTTTGGGGGATTGAATTTCTGCCATTGATGCTAATATGAGTTGCAGAAAATTTCGGAGATGTACCTCTGGAATCTTCCAACAGTTTGATTCCTAGAAATCGAAGATGCATCTCTATAGTTTTAATACATTTTTGGCAGTTTTTGCGTGAACTCATTGTATTGCATATGTATAAGTGTAACGCTTGTGTGGTTTACATACATGCATTATGGATGATAGACAAGACCGACTGAGACACGGCAGGATTGCATAACATGCATCGATTTGGAGGGAAAAGAGTCAACCATCATAGGTTTTTGTTACCTCTAGCCAGGTCGATGCAGAGGGGTCAACTTTTTGGATTCGTGTATCTCTGCCTTCTTCTTTTCGTAGGAGACAGGTGTCACCTACTCATGCATTCTGCCTCCATCTTTCTGTAGGCGACAGGTTTCACCTATTCAGGCACCCAAGGCAGTAGAGATACCCGAGTCACCTAAGGTATATTAGTAATGATTAATTTGTTCCAACACTCTTTAGGTTTGGATCATCCACCACTTCTCACGCATATCTGGCTGGTCATGTGTATCGACTTACACTAAGGATATGTCACGTGCTCTGCATTTGTCTCGCTCAGAGGGAGCCAAGCGACGGAACCGTACCGAGTGTATCTTGGATGCTTGGTAGTAGTAGATATATATACTTTCATATGTATATCGATCACTGTGAGACGCGTCACTTTGACGACATAGTTTTATACTCCGGATGGTTGGCTTACGGTTCACATCTGACGTATCCTCATCTGCCTGAGCGCGTCATGAGGCAGTTTGGCTACATGCAATATATTCATAGATCCTTTTGTGTCTGCTCTTCCTGCTATGACACGTAAAGATATATGGATGCTATGTTTGATGATTATTTTAATCATCTAGTACCGGAGAAGGCAAGAAGTATTATAGCTCCTAGCGATTAGAGTTACGCAGATGGTTACACATGCCACATCCTTATATGATACATGATTCTCTAAGAGATCCACCAAGACTAACTCATCAGAAGATATTAGAGGAAGTGCAAGTTAGGGTTTGATCATGCTATTGATGTGTAGCTTAGATGTCACTATAACATGGAGATTGGGTAGACGAGTATTGACAAAAGATTCTTTTCAGATGGCTCTGAGGTCAAGGACGTTGTAGGTGCCATGATGGCAGAGACACGGGAGGTACTAATGTACAAATGAATTAATTTGTTTTATTTTATTCTATCAAACTATAAAAATACACAAATAATATAATGGAATCTCAGTTTCATTCCTCCCTACGCCACTCATTCAATCATGTATTATTCTACGCCGCCCCATTATAATTCATCTATTAAAGATAATATTAAGGGTCTGTGTGATTCAATTAAGGGAAAGGATGAGAGAGATTTTTATCATATGGAAAAGATAGTCGTGTTTTAATAAATTTTCACTTTTAAATTTTTTTATGGAATGTGATGCAGGTGTTGATGAAGATGATGAAGTTTTTGATGAAGAAAATGAAGAAAGAAGATAAAAATATATAAATAGTATTAAGTATTGACAGTGTACTGTTAGAATTAGTAGACCATCAAGATTCAAAGATGTAGAATTAATTAAAAATAATAAATAATTAATATTAAAAAAATTAATAAAGTTTATGGACACTCAATAATATTGTCTCATCTAATATATTTTTAAAAGTTAAAAGCTAACATAATTTATTAGATTGGCTAACAACAATATTTTTTAGAGATTTAATGTTTATTAAATAAAAGACCAAAATAAAACCATAAATTAAATAAAAAAACATTATACTAATTAAAACAAAAAAAACATTAAGATCGTTAAAATGTGACATCAAAATTCTAAAAGATAAATAAATTTTAATATATTTAATAAATAATAAAATAAAGATATAAAAATATAAGAAATAGAAGAGAAAGAGAAAGATAAATTACGTCTAAAATAATTTTTTAAATATTTTAATAAATTAAATTTATATTTAAATAAATAACTAAAAATAAAAATAAATATAATTAGAATTTAATTAATATGCACTAAGGGTGTAAAATAATTTTACACTGTCAACCAATCATCTTCATGTATCTCGTTATATCATACTGTAAATTTTTAATGTACTGGTATGACATGATAGATTGATAAATTCTTATTAGATAACAATATAAAATTATTTTATATTGTCAACACATATCAATTAAACTAATATAATTATAATAAATATAAAATATTTCTTCTTCTTTTCAAATTTTTTAAATAAAAAAATAAAAAATAATTTATACTGTCAACACATTTAAAAGTTAACTCAAATATTAAATACTTCTTTCCTCCATTACGTTTCTCCACAAAATGGAGTTTTTAAGATTTTGTTCGAGAATTTAAGAGAAAATAAGATGAGGATTTTGAAGAAAAAAAAAGAAAAATAAAGTGAAAAAAATTGAAGGATTCAATAGAATAATTTTGAAAATTTTATTTTTATTATAGCACAAAATCCATATACTTTAAAAATTCAAAATTTATATTATATAAGAGTTTTAAAAAGTTTTAAAACTTACATAAATTTTTTTAATATATTTTATGTTATTATAATATTTTTAAAATAAATAAAATATACTATCTTTATTCTTTTATATAAGAAAAAAATTATTTTTTAAATTTATTAAATAATATATTTAACCGATTTATAAATTAGATACATTAATTATTTAAAAAATTAATAATAATAATAATAATAATAATAATAATAAATGTTCATTTACTTTACAAAATCACAATTTAAAAAGAAATAAATAAATATATATATATATATATATATATATATATATATATATATATATATATATATATATATATATATATATATATATATATATATATATATATATATATATATATATATATATATATATATATATATATATATATATATATATATATATATATATATATATATATATATATATATATATATTATTAGTTTTTTTACATAACCCCTCTCTAAAGTCCTCTTCTTCCCTCCAAATTCTCAAATAAAACTTAAATGTCTTTATGATTAGTGGGTGTTGGTTTTGTTACTCGGTGCCGGTGCCACTCTTGTGTACTTCTCTTGTCTAGAAATTTATTGAGCCTAGAATTTATTAATAATAATAATCTTCTAGTTTTTTTCAAAAAGAAAAAACATTCATGTATATCTAGAATGTGTATTTCAGCACTGTGCACTTTAATTTTTGTCTTAAAAACAATGAGTAATGTTAACTTGTGCCCTTGGGGCACACGTTAAGAAAATCATTTTTAGTAAGTTTGTATTGGAAAAAATAATTTAAAAAATAATTTTATATTTTAATTAAAATTTGTATACAATTTCTAAAATAATATTTCTTAATTTAGTTCGTGCCCTTGGGACACAAGTTAACATTACCTACAAACAATTAAGTTACAGCAATTTAGAATGGTCAATCCAAAATAGTTTTAAAATAAAAATAAATTTATTATAAGGTTCAATCCAGGTGTACTACAGAAGAGTCTTTTCGAAAGTTTGAGTGTGAAAAGTGAATCACAAAGAATTCTTATAAAAATGTGCTTTCAAAATGTTTTATGTTAAAGAATGAAAATAAAATAATTTAAAATAACTTTTTATAATGAATAAAAATAAAAATATAAACAAATAAGAATGGATATGAATTGAGAATTTTCTTATTTTGTTTCCCCCTAAAACCCAAAGCAACAATTAAGTAATAAAATACAGCTCTGTTGAGAGTGGGCCCATGTAATTTTTTTAAAAACTCTGGATAATGAATAATGCAATTTGCAAATAATAATGAAGAAATGAAAAGTCAACATGGGACTCCTATTGGTTTGATGGCTAGATAACTACCATTAAAATTCAGAAAAACATAATATGCTATCAATAATATCAAAATGTCTAATTCAATTCAAGACATAAAAAGTAACTAAGAACATTAGTTCCAATTCATAATCTAATTTATTCACTTGAATTGGTAATTGTATTTTAGAATGATATTTGACAGATCAAGAGTAGTCATAAAAAATGATGGCAAAGTTGTAAACAAAATTCAGAAATAGAGAAAGAAATTGACTAGCCTTCAGAAGGATCTGTAGTGGCGTTTGCAGTTTGAGCTTGTGAAGAGTTAAACAAAGAGTTGAAGAAACAAAGAGAAATAATAACAATTGCAGAATCCAAATAACAGAGTCTCATGATGAATGAATGAATCCTCAAACAATATTAAGATTTTGAAGATTAAATACTAATTATATAGCCAAAGTTGGCGTCTCTGACTAGGTAAATTCTTTCGTATTTTGTACTAAGAATTTTATAAGCATTAAATGTGATCCACTAGCTTGATCTTTTTTAAAGCCTCCTTTTAGTGGGTTGAAACTTCAAAATAAATAATTATTGTCGCAAGTGACCCCACTAGGCTAATCACTTTGAATTTTTATTTTATTTTATTTGGTGATACTGTAAACTATAGTGGAAATTTCAAATTCATGTGTCGTCACACATTTGAAAGTTGAAAGGTTGAAACTAGATTTCACGGTAAGGCTGGGCTTATAAACTTTCCGGATGCTAAATTAATTATATACTTCATTTAGTTATTTTCTATTAATCTCTTAAAAAAGAAGCATTTAGTAAAACAGGAATGATTCCTAAAATGCAAAATACTTTTTTTTATTTATTTATTAATTATATTTTTGGATTCATTTTGATTCTTTAATTTTTTTCTGGTTACTTTGATCTTTTAACTTTGTAAAATATACATATAAGTATTTTATGTTTGTTTTTCTCAAACGTGTGCTTATTTAATTTACATAAAAGCTGAATTGTCAACGTTATTACTTAACTTTATCTACATTGTTTCATCTGTATATCTTCGTTTTTCATTTTCATTGTGTATCTTCTTTTTCATTTTTGTTTTCATCTTGTTCACATCATCCGCAACGTTTCATCTTCGTTCATTTTATCTGCATTGTTTTCGTCTTCCTTAGCATCGTGCTCCTCATTTGGGTTTTCTTCGAAGCATGAGGTCCGACCAATGTTCTTTGTTTCTGAAGCAGAATAACTCTGAAAGTTGTGAATTCAATGTATACACAAACTCGCGATGGGTACCAAAATGTCATTGTGGGGGACAAATATGTGATTCGTAGGGCAACAACTGATAATAATTTTGGAAAATTTTTTTGGGGTCGTCCAAAATTTAAGGTAAGCCCTAATTTCAGTTCGATTTATGTCCAAATGTGATAAATCTATTTTGATACATAAATGCAATTTTAAGGGATCCTTGCAAAGAAAGTGTAGTTTTTTCAATTGGTTTCATGAGGATTTGGGATATGAGAAGGAGAAATTTATGATGAATAGGTTGGAAAGCATAGCAAAGGAAATTGATGATGCAAAAAAGGAGTTGGAAAAATTCAGGGTGACAATGAAGAATTACGGAAAGTTGTGATAGAACTTCAAACTCAAGTGAACAAGATCTTGAAGTGGAAAAAAATATGGAATATTATGTTTCTTGTAATCTTATGTGTATTGTTTCTTGTTTCTTAGGTTGTTGGTGTAACCTTACAAGTTAACTTGTTATATCCTTCTTTTTTGCACCTATTGCATTTTACTATGAAACATGTTCTTCTCATTTTTCTGTTAGTCCCATCAATCTTCCCTTGTTCAAGGTTCCTCATTTTCTTTGGTCTACCAGGCATCTTTCTATACTTAGGTGGCTGCACATCCGGATATGGTGTCTTAACCCAAAGATTAAACTCATTCATAGGGTAAATCACATGTTTGTAGACTATCATGTACCTAGATTTCCTGTAATACTTAGTGATATAATCATCAATGTTAAAGTTCCTACTCTTCATAGCTGACAATGCATGAACACATGAAAGTCTTGTGAGCTCCCATCTTCTGCAAGAACATGTGTAGTCTTTCAAATTTATAGTGAATGTTTATGTTGGGCTTTCAAGATGTCTTACTTCAAACATGTGTTCATCAGACATCCTACAAATGTTTCAAATATCAGTACTAACCCTAATAATCATTGCTATAAGTACCAGTAATAACCAATGTTTCATACCTGACAAGCCATAAGTTAGTGAATGTGCTTGTTCTATTAATCCTCCTTCTAATGTTAGGCAAAATTTCATGATCAAAGACATTTTGTAACCTCATCCTATTGTTTGCCCGTCTTTACATAATATAAGTTATGATCTCTTTCAGCATAGTGACTAATGGTTTAACTCTTGACTCAAGAATAACACTATTAAAAGACTCTAACATGTTGTTAAGAACAACATCACACTTATTAGTTGTCCTAAATATATGATCTATTCCAATATCTTACTTAATCATTGTGTATTCATCATCTTCACATTAAACTATTTGCTACAATTATGTTTGTCATTTACCTTCCTTACTTGCCAAGATTCTTCATTTGTCAACTTAGCCCACTAGACCTTCCACTTACAACCATCTTTACATCTCACCCTCACCCTTTTTTTTCATTTTCTTTAACTTCATGTCTCTACCATTTTGAACAACATGTGAGGTTATTGCTTCATTAATCACACTTTTTGAAGTAAAATGCATTCCTACCTCCCATTTGTAATTGGACACATCCTTCAGTATCCTGAAAATTGGGTACTTCTTCCTTTTAGCTCCACTACCATCATCACTCTCACAACATTCTACTCATCTAGCATTACCAGCAATACCAGCTGTTTACCGTGAAAATTGGTAAACAACCGCTGGTTTCCAAAAAAATTGATTTACTTGCAGGATCAACCAGTGGATTCTAGGACATGTGTTATTGTTTAAACTATTTCTGAAAATCTTAAGAACACTTCGACAATGCTCATGATTGTAGAAGATTGTTTAAAGTTTAAAAAGGTAAGTTTGCAGAATTGTAAAGAAATTGAAATAAAGAAACTTCAAAGTAAATTTGCAATGAAGAAATAAATGTTAAACTGAAAATAACTTTCAATTGAAATGAAAATAATGGTGTTTCAGACGTACATTTTCAACGAAAACTCTTTTCTCAATTAACTTAGATACTGTCACACCCTAATTTTAAACCCTAAGATCCCACCTCTTTGTGCATTACCTTGCATAGCATCTTTAGGTCATACGGTCCTTGTGTGCATGTTTATTGTGACTAACAAGTTTGTGCAGAAACATTGATTTCAAAAGTCGATGAAGGTGAGAAAATACTTAGAAGGGGGGGGGGGGTTGAATAAGTATACAGAAAATATTATGGCAATAAAAACTCAAAGATTTTTATCCTGGTTCGTTGAACTCAACTACTCCAGTCCACCCTATCAAAAGTGATTTGCCTTTCTCAACAAGGACTTAATCCACTATTAATCAAACTGATTACAATAGCAAGCACTAAGAGCAACTGTTCTCAGTCTTCTTAAGAACTATTGATCCCAACTGGATCTTCTTAAGGACTTTTACAATCAATATGTAAAACTAAAACAAGTGTTTGAATGCTTCTAAATAAGCTATATCACAACTGTGATTTTACACTTAAGTTTTAAGAACTATGAAATAAAATCAGCAATGAGTATAAATTGTATGAGAGCTTTTCTTTGAATTCTTTCAATGTTTCGTCAACTGAAGAAGAGTGTTGGAGTCTTGCTTTTATAGGCACAGAAGTCCAAGTTGTTTTCACGTTGAAGGTTGTGTACTAAAAAGGGCTGTAGCCTTTTTGTCTTCACATCACTTGACCTTTCCTAGAATTAGAATGCACAGAGAAATCCTTTTTGTTTGTGTTCTTGTGTCTAGCATAAATGAGGAAAGAGTCGTTTGGCCAAACCAACGGACATAACTTTGAATTCTTCTTCAACAAGTTTCTAATACTCAGCAAATAACATCAGAGCCTTGAGTGATCAGAGTCTTTGATGTTCATCAGAGTTTGTTGAATCAGAGCATTGCAGCAAGTGTGCTTTCAGCGTGTAATTTCATTAGAGCAGAGTTTGGGATCATATTCCTCAGTACTGGCAGCGTAGTACTATCAGAGTCTTCTGAAATAAACTAAGCTAGAAACTCTTCATACAAAGTCTTCAATGCTTCAGATGCTTCTGTAGCTTCTGCTTCAGATTCTTCTGTAGCTTCTGCTTCAGATCCTTCTGTAGGCAGCGCTCAGAATCTTTTGTAGGCAACGCTCAGAATCTTCTAGGAGATGCTTCTGATGCTTCAGAGCCTTGCATAATTTCATGTTCAGATCTAATTTGCTTTCAAAATAATATTCACTTTAATATCTGCAGCAAACATACTTAAACAAATTTTAGAGTATATAATTTCTTAATACAAAATTTCGTAAGAGTTATCATCAAAACATAGAGATATAATTAAGAACCAATCTGTGTTCTAACAATCTCCCCCTTTTTGATGATGACAAAAACATAAGAAATTTTCTTCAATAAAAAAATATAATTATAACTCCTCCTGAGATTATTAATCTCCCCCTGAATTGAATACTTAGAAGGAATAGAAACTTCCCTTTTTGCATGAGTATTCTTTTCAGAATCAGAGTCTGATTGTTCCAAAAAAAATCGGAGCTTGACTTGAATGAACGTTTCAGAATCAGAGCCTGATTGGTTAAACTTGATCTGGGGATCTCAGAGTTACTTTTAAAGAATTTGTCAGATTTTTCAAATGTTCTGAAAAACTAAGAGTTCACGTTAGTTATAATTAGATATGTCTGAATTTCATTTAGGTAGAGTTTATTTGAACAGTCAGATCCATTTTCTCCCCCTTTTTGTCATAATCAAAAAGTAAGACTTTAAAGACAAAATAAAAGGAAATAGAGAAAAGATACATTCATGTAGAGAAAACATCAGAGTCGTTCATTCATTCAGATACAAAACAGACACATCATCAGATAGGAAATTCAAGTACATGTGCACAAACATCAGATACAGAAAACATAAAACTAGGTTTGCTTGGAAAGAATCATCTTCAGAAGTTGAGTGATCTCAGATGAAGATTCTTCTTGCTTTGTCATCCATTTTGCAATGTTCTCATTCTTCTGATCTTGCTTAGACATCCATTGTGCCATGTTCTCAGTCTTATGATCTTTCTTGGCCATCCATGACTTGATCTCAGATTGCCTAGCTTCCAAAACTGCAATCTTATCTTCCAAATCTGGATTCTCTTTCTTGATCTCAATAGAGGTAGATGGAGCAGATTCTTGTGCAGAAATA